CTGCAAGGTCCCAAGGGTGGCCATGGAGCTCTTGGAGCATCCTCCCCAGGACACCATGTCCCCAGTGTGAGGCTGCAGCTTGGGCACCCTGTGGCAGTGTTCTGCTTTCCATGCTGCTCTGCAAGCCAGGGGTCAATGAGCTGCAGTTCCTACAGGCTCATCCCACTGTGCAGGGCCGGGTATCCCAGTTGGACTGGAGCAGCAGGTTGGGATGTGCTAGACAGCCTGGGTTTGTGTTTTCATAGAATCCCAGCCTGGTTTGTGTTGGAAAGGAACTTAAAGCTCCTCCAGCTCCAACCCCTGCCACGGGCAGGGACACCTTCCACTAGAGCAGCTTGCTCCAAGCCCCTGTGTCCAACCTGGCCTTGAACACTGCCAGGGATGGGGCAGCCACAGCTTCTCTGGGCACCCTGTGCCAGCGCCTCAGCACCCTCACAGGGAAGAGCTTCTGCCTAAGAGCTCATCTCAGTCTCCCCTCAGGCAAGTTAAAGCCATTCCCCTTGGCCTGTCCCTACAGGCCCTTGGCCAAAGCCCCTCTCCAGGTCTCTTGTAGCATCTCGCTGGGCAAGAGGCATTTTGGCCTCACGGCCACACTGGGTACCTCAAGACCTTGCTTCACCCCAGGCTGGGACACCTGGGGCAGCAGAAGGGATCTTCTGCTCATCACTTGTGTTCCCTTGTCACTGAAGTAGTTACCTGCTCCTTACAAGGTGCTTCCCACTTGTGGCTGAAACCTGTAGAGGAGAAATAGCTTTATTTAAATCTAATTATCATGAATCTGTTGCCAAAGGAAGCTTAAAGCTGTGAGCCAATTATGTATGGTAATGTGCAAGGGTGAGGAGTGGCCAAAGGGTGTAATTAGAGCCTGTTGTAGCGTGGACGCCCAGTTGTTGGATGGTATTTCTGGCCAAGGCCAGTCCTGTTGGCTGCATCTGCTGGTGTCAGTAACGGGGTAACAGCAGAGGGGAGGGCATGAGCCCCACAGACACTCCCTGGAGAGGTTCACCAAAGGGAGGAGAAAAACCCCACAAAAGTCCTGGGTTTTGATGGTGAAACCAAGCAGGGCTTGGCAGCACGGTGCCAGCTCTGTGGGAGGGTTCTTTATGCAACAGCAATACTCGCTCCTCCTGTTTCAGTGTGATAAGGAAAGTGGGTTGATGCCTTTGTAGATCCCAGCTTGTACCGATGCTGCTCTGCCATGGAGGCATCCCTGGACCAGCCCATGGTCAGGCGGTTGCACTTGTGGCTCTGGGTGCTTCAGCAGAGAAACCCCTGGGAGGCAAAGGGAAGCAGAGGGTGGCTGTGATCAGGCTGTGGATGGTGTCCACCAGCCTCTGTCCGCCTCCCACAGACCTTCCCTTCTCAAATCTGAGCTAATGAAACCTTGGCTCATCTCTCGCAATCATAGAATGGGACATGGAGCTGTTGGAGTGAGGCCATGGAGATGCTGCGAGGGCTGGAGCAGCTCTGCTCTGGAGCCAGGCTGAGAGAGCTGGGCTGGGGCAGCCTGGAGAAGAGAAGGCTCCTGAAGGGGAGACCTGAGAGCAGCTCCAGTGCCTAAAGGGGCTGCAGGAAAGCTGGAGAGGGGCTTGGGACAAGGGCCTGTAGGGACAGGCCAAGGGGAATGGCTTTAACCTGCCAGAGGGGAGACTGAGATGAGCTCTTAGGCAGAAGCTCTTCCCTGTGAGGGTGCTGAGGCGCTGGCACAGGGTGCCCAGAGAAGCTGTGGCTGCCCCATCCCTGGCAGTGCTCACTGGGTTTTTCTCACCAGTCCAGACGCACACAGGACCTGTGCAGGAAGTCAAGGGCACAGTTAAGCCTGCCCAGCATGACTCTCATTTTTCAGTTCAAGTTCCTCTTCCCGTTCCAGAAACTGGAAAAAACGATTGCAGCATTGGGTAAATCCCCAGCTGGGCTCAGCCCTGGGGGATGGGATGGGGATGTTGCATGGACCTGCTGAAGACGCAGGTGCCCCAAGCCCTGTGCCCGTCACCCCAAGCCAGTTCCTTGGCCTCTCTTCCAGATGTCCTTCTACTTCTCGGATACGGCAGTGCTGCTCTTTGACTTCTGGAGTGTCCACACCCCCGCAGGTAGGCTGCCAGCCCCGAGACACTGTCCATCTGTCCATCCATCTGTGCATCCATCTATGCATCCATCCATCCGTCTATGCATCCATCCGTCTGTCCATCCATCTGTCCATCCATCCATCCATCCATCCATCCATCCATCCATCCATCCATCCATCTGCCCATCTATCTATCCGTCCATCCATCTGTCCGTCCGTCTGTCCATCCATCCATCCATCCATCCATGTATCCGTCCATCTATCCATCCGTCCATCCATCCATCCATCCATGCATCCATCCATCCATCCCTCCGTCCATCCACCCATCTGTCCTTCCATCCATCCACGCATCCATCCACGCATCCATCCACGCATCCATCCACGCATCCATCCACGCATCCATCCACGCATCCATCCACGCATCCATCCACGCATCCATCCACGCATCCATCCACGCATCCATCCATGCATCCATCCACCACTGCCTGTGCTCTCCGCCTGGAAGAACGGATGTGGAGCACAGAACCGAGGAGCAGCTTTACACTCCTGTCAGGAGCGGTGAAGAGCAGGACCCCAGCATTAACCCTGGGGCGCTTACTGTGTGCAGGGCTCAGGGCAGAGCTCAGGGCACTGCAGGCTCCATCCTCCCAGCCCAAGAGCAGCAGACAGGGAGGTGTTGGAATCACCCCCCCCAGCCCTGCCAGCCCCCACAGGTCAGTGTTGGATCAGCTTCCATTTCTGGTTTTCCTTTTATTATCCCAGAATCACATTTTAGCCCCCAGTTTTTTTTGTGGAGTCGATGCAAAGATGCTGATTCTTTTCAGAGCAATCCACCTCCAAAAAAATACTCCCTAGGAATTTAGAGGGAGGAATTGGGCTAAATACACCATTTTCCAGTGCTTCACCAACCTGCTGCCCAATTCCAGTCCTGGGAGCCCATTCCCTCTACTTTATCCCATGGATATCTCAGAGTGCTTTGTGTTGGAAGGGACCTTAAAGCTCCTCCACCTCCAACCCCTGCCACGGGCAGGGACCCCTTCCCCTAGAGCAGCTTGCTCCAAGCCCCTGTGTCCAACCTGCCCTTGAACACTGGCAGGGATGGGGCAATGTCCAAGCGATATTCCCAAGCACTTTGTACTGGTTGCCACCACCTCTCCCCCCACACCAGTGCGTGCCCATGGGTGTTTCCCTGCAGGGATGGTGCTCTCGGTGCTGGTGATCCTGCTGCTCTCCATGCTCTATGAAGGCATCAAGATGGGCAAGGCCGTGCTGCTGCGGCGGGCGCTGCGGGAGCTGCCCCCCAGCCTCAGCCAGGACCCGCTGCTGGAGCCGGAGGAGGGGGCCCCCAGCCCCACGCAGGGCAGGTACCACAGGGACCCCTCGCACCCTGCTTGTTGGGGGGGAGATCAGGGATGGGGATGTGGCCCCCTGGGAGGGAGGAAGGCTGGAAAGAGCCAGCCCTGGAGTGCTGAGCTCGCAGGGAGGGGTGGGACAGCTGCAGGAGGTGGCCCCAGGGGAATCCTGCCCTGTGCGAGTCCTTTGGGAGATATCCAGGGTGGTTTCAGCTTAGTAAAGGATCACATTCCCCCAGGAGCTATCGTGCAGGAGGGTCCTTGTGCTTTGGGAATGGGCTCAGGCACCCCAGCAAGGCTGACCCAGCCTTTCCCTTCCCACCCTTGGAGCCAAGCCCTGAGTTTTTCCTCTTTTATTTAATCCCAAACCATGCCTGAGGATGCTCTTACTGCCAGTATCCTTTGGAGCAGGATTTCCCCCTGCGCTGCTGTTTGCTGCCCCCATCCCATGCCCCACTTCCCAAACCCATCTCTGGATGCTCCGGGATACCAGCAGGGTAAGGGGGAAGCTTCCAGCTGCCCCAGCCCTTTGCTTATGGGGTTTCTCAAACCATGTAGACGAGGCCATCCGTACCATGGGTTAGTGGTGGCCTTGAACAGCTGGACTTGGTGATCCTAAAGGTCTTTTCCAACCTGGTTGATTCTATTATTACAGAGGGTTGGAACTGGATGATCTTAAGGTTCTTTCCAACGCAAACCACTGTGATTCTATGTCTCTTCCACAGGTGGTTTCAGTACCATGTTGGTCAGACGCTGTTCCATGTGGTGCAGGTGGTGCTGGGCTACATGGTGATGCTGGCAGTGATGTCCTACAACGCTTGGATCTTCCTTGGGGCCATCGCGGGCTCCACACTGGGCTATTTCGTGGTGTACCCCCTGCTCGGTCGGGGTTAGTCGCTTCCCATGGGATGCTCCACACTTCCTGCTCTTTGTCTGGAATTGCTGCTGGCACTTTACCGGGTCTCTCCTCCTGTGCTGTGCAGGACGCAGCAGCCAGGGACTGGCCCAACTCAGGGTGGGTATTGCTGGGGAAGGGGAGCCCCATGGCCACCGTCCATTGGTGGCTGCCCCCAGCTCTCAGGGAGCTTTGGCTGGGTGATGATGAAGGGGGGGGTGCTGAGTGTTTCCTCCCCCCACCACTGCAAGGTTTATCCTGGCTGCAATGGGAATGGTGCAGTGATGGGGATGGGGATATAGGGGACCGGTACCCCTGTGCCCTCCTGCCAAGCACTGCCCTGCACCAAGCCCCTCTTCACACAGTGCCTTCTAGGGAGAACAGGGGGTCCTGATGGGTCCCCCCTCCCAGTGCTTCAGGGATGGGGTGGGAGCAGCCCCCAAGTTGTGGCCATGCTGAGGGGAAGCTGCTGTTTTGGGGCCTCTTGCTGCTGCTTCGGGACACCCCTTTTAATAAAACCATCTCAGTGGTTCAGCTCCTGGCTTGTGTTGGATGTGTCACCCCCCCAGTCACAGTGGGGGACCCCCAATCACAGTGGGGACCCCCAGTCACAGGGGCACTCTCCCATCCCTACCCCTCCAGCACAGCCCCAGGGCTGGGTTCAGCAATGAGCACAGTCTCCTCTGGCTTTAAATAAAGCTTTTCCATTTTATTAATTATTATAAGCATATTTTTAAACATTTGTATAACTTTCTTAATAAAATATCCTGGAAGAGACAGGTTTTAAGTTCCCCAAGCAAGGCACTTTGGGGGGGGGTTCAGACTGGCCACCCCCCTTCAGAGGCAGAAACAGCAGCACCTAAAATGCAGGCAGGTGTCAGGGTGCTGGTCCCTACTCCATGCACACACACACACACGAGTTCTGCCAACCCCACCAGCACCTCTGCATGGGGCTGTGCCTGTCCCTGGCCCCACAGCGGATGCCAGCTCTGCCCCACCAGCACTGTGCTAGCCAGAGCTCTAGAGCTGGAGCCATCATCTGTGCACAGGACTGGGAAGCAAGAGCTGGGATCCCTCCTCTGCCTGGATCCAGGCAGCCCAGTCCCATTGGAGACATGGGGTGAGCATCACCTTCACTGCTGAGCTTTTAATCTGAACTTAGCTGCTAGAAGGGCCTGGGGTGAGTGAGGGCGGCCAGGGATGGGTGCTGGGTGCTGTTATCTCAGTTTGGATGCAGTTACCTTAGGCTGGGTGCTGTTGCCCCAGTTTGGATGCAGTTACCCCAGCCTGGGTGCTGTTATCCCAGTTTGGATGCAGTTACCCCAGCCTGGGTGCTGTTATCCCAGTTTGGATGCAGTTACCCCAGCCTGGGTGCTGTTGCCCCAGTTTGGATGCAGTTACCCCAGCCTGGGTGCTGTTATCCCAGTTCGGATGCAGTTACCCCAGCCTGGGTGCTGTTACCCCACGCCTGCCCCAGTTCTCACCCCATCAGGAGCAGTGCAAGCCACCCAGCGCTGCTGTATCCCTGTCATCATGTTTTCCATCATCCCACTGGCATCCCTGGGCCATGGGTGCACTGCTGGTGGGCATTCCCAGGAAGCCCTCAACTGGGACCAGTGGCCGATCCCTGGGGCAGCTGGGAGCATCCTGTGCACCCATCCACAGCAGGGCTAGTGCCAGCCCCCCCCCCCCCCCCCTCCCCGGGTGCCCCAGTGCTCGGGGGGCAGATAAAGCATCTCCTCGTTAGAAAAGAAGAAACTAAGGCAGAAGAAGGACAGAGCAGAGTGCAGGGGGGACCCCGGGCTGGGGCCTCCCCAGTCTGACCCAATAGGACCACTTGGCTGTATCCAGCCCCGCACAGCAGCGGGGTCTCCCCCCCCGTAGGCAATAAGGTCTTGGTGTTTCCCATCCCCTCCCTTTCCCACAGCACTGCCCTCCATCCCCGGCAGCACAGCGGGTCCTGTTCCCCCTATCCCAACCCCCAGCATCACCAGGGCCAGTCCATGGTGGGGGGGGCCAGGCTAGAACTCTGTCTGCACCCCCTCACCGCTCTCCGTTGTGCCTGGGGACTGTGGGGGGGTAACAGCCACCTCCTCGCCTGTCTCCTTGTCGCTGGGCTGATGGCAAACTGAGCCGGTGGACGGTGATGGGGTCTTGGCTTCGGGTGCAGGTGATGCTGGTGTACCATGGGGCAGCTTGCCCTCTGGTGGGACATCGGCTCTGGGTTTGGGTGATGCCGGCATGGTGTGCTGCACCCTGGCTCCTGATGGGGTATCAGCTCCAGGCACGGGTGATGCTGGTGCAGCCGGTTGCACCCTGGCTCCTGGTGTGCTATCACCTCCAGGCACGGGTGATGCTGGTGCAGGCAGTTGCACTTCAGCCCCTGATGGAAGCTCGGCTCCAGGGACCGCTGATGCCGCTGCAGCATCCCCAGCCCCTGGCACAACATCAGCCGCAGGCGCAGGCGATGCCGCTGTGGCGTGGTGCACCCTGTCCCCATCGCTGGCTGCACCCTGGGAGGGGACATCCCCTGGGACAGACGCTGCCACCGCCACCTCCTCGGTGGCACCACTCTCCCGCTTGGCGTCAGTCCCGTTCCTCAGCCGCTCCTCCACCTCACCGGCACCCCCGCGGCTCTCCTTGGCCAGCGCCTCCCGGATCTCCTCCACCCCATCCGGCGGTGGCTCCTCCGGCTCCGGGGGCTGCGGGGACCCGGGCTGCAGCAGCGCCTCGGCGCCCACCGCGTAGGGCAGGAGCCCGTCGTCATCCTGGATCACCGACACCACTTGCTTGGCCCTGCGGCGCCGCTCGCCCTGCGGCTCGGCCTCGGGCTGGGAGCTGGGCTCGTCCCCCCACTCCATGGGGATGCTCTCGCCCAGGAGGTGCAGGTTGGGGTCGCTGTTGTGCATCACGACGCTGTCGCGGTACAGGTTGTGCTTGCGCTGCACGGCCGCCTCCTTCACAGCTGCGGGCACCGAGAGAGGGGTCAGAGGGGCTGTGGGCATGGGGCAGAGCCCACCAAATCCAGGCATCTACCCCATTGGTGCCCTTTGGCGGTATGGAGCCAGTTCAGCATCGCACCACTCGGCTCTGACAGTGGGAAGGATGGGGGGGGAAGATGCTGCCAGCATCCTGCATGGGGTCATCCATCCTCATACAGCCTCCCCCAGCACCCTGCTGAGGAGCACCTTCCCTTGTACATTCCCAGTATTCTGCATGGGGTTATCTTGCCCAGAGAAGCTGTGGCTGCCCCATCCCTGGCAGTGTTCAAGGCCAGGTTGGACACAGGGGCTTGGAGCAAGCTGCTCTAGTGGAAGGGGTCTCTGCCCGTGGCAGGGGCTGAAACCTGATGATCTGTAAGGTCCCTTCCAACCCACATGATTCTACGATCTCCCTCCTCTGGTACCCAGCACCCATCATGGACCCTGCAGGTGATGCTGAGCCCAGGCTTGGCTTGCACTGACTACACCCAGCACCCACCCCGAGTGCTGGAGCTCCCTGGCTCTGCAGGGCTCTACCTTGCATGATGTCTTTCATCACCGACTGTAGCACGACCTCCTCGTAAGTGTTCTCCACCAGGATGAAGCTGGCAAAGTCCTCGAAGATCAGCTCCTGAAACTTGGCTAATTCCTGCCATGGGGAATGAGGCCGCTCAGCCAGGGGGGCAGGAGGGAGGGATGCTCCAGCCCCCTCACCCCAGACTTCACCCTCTTACCCCCTTGCAGGTTGGCGCCAGCTTTTTCAGCAGGAAGGGGATGGTGATCTGCAACAGGGCCTCCCTGAAGAACTTCTTCCGCACGGTGCTGCTGTCGTAGTCGTATTTCTGGGGGGTGAAAGAGTCAATGGGTCAGTGAGATCCTTCTCATAGGATCCCAGCCTGGTTTGTGCTGGGGGGGACCTTAAAGCTCCTCCAGCTCCAACCCCTGCCACGGGCAGGGACACCTTCCACTAGAGCAGCTTGCTCCAAGCCCCTGTGTCCAACCTGGCCTTGAACACTGCCAGGGATGGGGCAGCCACAGCTTCTCTGGGCACCCTGTGCCAGCGCCTCAGCACCCTCACAGGGAAGAGCTTCTGCCTAAGAGCTCATCTCAGTCTCCCCTCTGGCAGGTTAAAGCCATTCCCCTTGGCCTGGCCCTACAGGCCCTTGTCCCAAGCCCCTCTCCAGCTTTCCTGCAGCCCCTTTAGGCACTGGAGCTGTTCTCAGGTCTCCCCTTCAGGAGCCTTCTCTTCTCCAGGCTGCCCCAGCCCAGCTCTCTCAGCCTGGCTCCAGAGCAGAGCTGCTCCAGCCCTCGCAGCATCTCCATGGCCTCCTCTGGCCTCGCTCCAACAGCTCCACGTCCCTCTTGTGCTGCTGCCCCAGAGCTGGATCAGGGCTGCAGGGGGGTCTCCCCAGAAGGCAGCAGAGGGGCAGGATCCCCTCCCTTGGCCCAAGGCCATTGAACGCCACCAAAGCCCGGATCCGCACCCCTCACCTTGAGCACCCTCTCCAGGATGCGCTGGATGGACTTGCAGAGGTCGTCCTTGCCCTGCAGCTTCCCCAGCTCCTGGTGGAGCAGCGTCTCGAACGTGTGCACAGCATCATCCATTTGCTGTCAGCAGGGGCAGATGGTCAGCACCCGGGGACCCAAAGGGACCATCCCTCCACCCTGATGGGTTGCACTCCCTTCCCCTACACCCCGCTCCAGGTTTGGCTGGGTTAGAACCCAGAACTGGGCTACTGGGTTTGCTGGTGCCACTGGGCTTGGTGGCAAAGGGGCAACTGTGCTGTGATGCTCCAGTCTGGGTGCTGAGCTAGAAGGATGCCCCATGCTGCTGCCATGCACAGCCCCACTGCTTGGGCTCCAGACCTAAGGGAATGGCCAGATCCATCACGCAGCCTTAAGTGGGTACCAATGACATGAAGGCCCTTGAGACAGGGCAGCCAGGGTGGACCACCCTGGGCTCTGCTCTGCCTCTGCCCAGGGGGACACAGGGGGACCTCGCTCCCCATCCCACCTGTCTCATGTGGATCTGGGCCCTCTGCTTGAAGACGGACGTGCTGGTGACATCGAAGCGCTGCTGGAGACCCTCCAGTTTCAGCTGCTCCATCTTCTCATAGCACGACTGCATCTTGACCGGGTGGAAGGCCAGGTGGGAAAGCTTCTCCATGTACTGGGGAACAAAGCCAGGCTCAGCAGGGCAGGACACGCACAGGGGCTTCATCCCCACGTGCTTCCTGTGGTCCCCTAGTGCTGCCTACGCTGAGGATGCAGCAGGACTGACCCTGCCACCCCCAAGCCCTCCGGCCTGCAGGCTCTCACCTCCACCAGCTTCTCCAGGCCACCTTCATTGATGATGTTCATGTTCATGTCCGTCACCTCCTTGAAGAACACCTCCCGCACCTCAGCAAAGCCCTGGCTCGTGGGGGTCATCAGGGCCTCCAGGATGGAGGGGATGTAGGGCTGGACGTGGTTACGGACGCACACCTCCGCTTTGGGGAGGACAAACGCTGGGCAGAAAGCAGGGGTGAGCACGGTGAGGCTCCTTCCAGCCCTTCAGATCAGCTCCTAAACCCACCCCAAAGAGGGGGACGTGCCCCTCTCCGCAAGGCCCTACAGAAGAAGGCTTCCATCCTTGCAGGACAACACAGGGTGTTAATGCAGAGGGCCCTCAGTCTGCACTGAACCAGCTCCTACCCACTGCCCACCTTGACCCCCACCTCTCAGGACAATGCCGATGAGGATGCGCACCCCGGCACCTTCTGGCATCTCCCAAGGGTTCCAGGCCATGCTGCACCCCAGGAGCACCACACCTTGGTGAAACAGCGGCAGTGCCACACCAGGGACACAGCTACATCCATGTCCACATCCTTGTCTCCATGCCCACATCCTTGTCTCCCCGCAGGGCTGTACCTCGGATCTTGCTGGCCAAGTGCTCCTTGGAGGTGATGATCTGGTCCATGTCCGTGCGGATAGTGCTCTCCATCTGGGGCCGCTCCTGCTCGCACTTGGCCATCGCTGCATCGTACTGGGCATTGGTCTGCTCATAGACCATCCTATAGACAGCATCCGAGATCTGGAGAGAGCGAGATGGGGAGGTCAGCAGCCCCACCCCATGCTCTCTATTGCCCATCACCTCCAGCAGGAGACGCCTGCAGGACCTGCCAAGCCTTCACCGTGCCCTGACCAGACCCCTTGTCACAGGCTGACAGGAGATTTTGGCACCAGGGACCCCCCAGCTGGGGGAGATGAAGCTCCCATGGAGCAGAGATGGTTCAAAGTGGTACCCAAGGGGCAGAGAGCTGAGCATCTACCTCTGTGAACCTTCAGGCAGGTCGAGGGAAAGGGGGGGGGCTGCAGGGATGGGGGGTCTGGGGGGATGAGGATGTTGCAGTGATAGGGGGTCTGCAAAGATGGGGGGGTGCAGGGTTTGGGGGCTGCAGGAGTGGGGGTGATGGAGGGATGAGGATGCTGTGGGGATAGGGGGGCTGCAGGGATGGAGAGCTGCAGAGATTGGAGTGATGCAGGGATGGGTGGGCTGCAGGGATGGGCGTCTGTAGGAATGGGGGAGATGCAGGGATGGGGGGGCTGCAGGGATGAGGATGCTGCAGGGATGGGGCCTGTTGGTCCAGGCAGGAGAGCCCATGACTCCATTTGAAGGCTGTTCGCTCCACGGGGTCTCGGGAGCCCATCCCATGGTGGGGTTGAAGCTGCTCATTGAGGCTTCACACTCACTTCACAGGCACACGCAGTGATTCCAGGGCTGGCAGAAGGCAGGGCCAACCCCCTACAATCCCCCCCCCATCTCCCTGGGGCTTCCCAGCTTTGCAGCTCCAACCACAGCTCCTGGAAAAGCAGCGTTTGGTCGGTTTTGGGCTGCTCCAGAGGCACATTCCAGGCCTGGTGGTAATTACCCATCAGCTCTTAGGGATTTAACAGGCGCTTCGAAAGAGCCCTTGGTCTTTCACAAGGGTTCAGCCTGGATTTAGCTTGTGCTGCTCTAAAAATGGCTCACTAAATATAGCCAGGATGGGCTCTGCTCCAGGGCTGGGCTTCCTCCTGCCTGCTTCCGCACCCCAGGGACAGGCAGTGCAGGCAGGGCTGCTGTGGGGACAGTAAGGAGACAGCATGGAGAGTAAGGATGGAGGGGAATAAAGGATGGAGGGGCATAAAGGATGGAGGGGAATAAAGGATGGAGGGGGATAAAGGATGGAGGGGGATAAAGGATGGAGGGGAATAAAGGATGGAGGGGAATAAAGGATGGAGGGGAATAAAGGATGGAGGGGGATAAAGGATGGAGGGGGATAAAGATTGGAAAGGAATAAAAGATGGAGGGGAATAAAGGATGGAAGGGGGATAAAGATAGGAAGGGAATAAAGGATGAAGGGGAATAAAGAATGGAGGGGGATAAAGATTGGAAAGGAATAAAAGATGGAGGGGAATAAAGGATGGAAGGGGGATAAAGATAGGAAGGGAATAAAGGATGAAGAGGAATAAAGAATGGAGGGGGATAAAGATTGGAAAGGAATAAAAGATGGAAGGGAATAAAGAATGGAGGGGGATAAAGGTTGGAAGGGAATAAAGGATGGAAGGGAATAAAGAATGGAGGGGTATAAAGGTTGGAAGGGAATAAAGGATGGAAAGGAATAAAGGATGGGGATAAAGGTTGGAAGGGAATAAAGGATGAAAAGGAATAAAGGAGGGGGATAAAGGTTGGAAGGGAATAAAGGAGGGAAAGGAATAAAGGAGGGGGATAAAGGTTGGAAGGGAATAAAGGATGGAAGGGAATAAAGAATGGAGGAAGAATACAGGATGGAGTGGGATAAGGAATGGAGGAGAATAAAAGATGGAGGGGAATAAGGATGGGGGGAATAAGGACACGTGTGAATAGGGATGGAGGAGATTGAGGATGGTGGAGAATGAGGATGGAGCAGAATAAGGAGGTGGAGAACAAGGATGGTGGAGAGTAAAGATGGTTTCTTAGGGGGCAGAGAGGGATGCAGGACAGCTGATGCCCCCCCGGCAGCCCCATACCTGGATCCACGTCCGCTGGCGCTCCTGCGCTTTGCCCTTCAGGCGGGGCCCGATGGCGTTCCTGAGCTCGGGAAGCAGCTCCTCCATCACCAGGTTGCTCAGGACCTGCGGGGGCAGGAGGCTGTGGGGGCCCTGCTCATCCCGCATCCCTGCCTTGGGGCCGTGGCGGGAGCAGGGGCCCTCACCTGGGTCTCGTTGCCACACAGCATGTCCCACGTGCCGTACTGCTCCTTCGACTGGCGGTACATGCGTACTGCATCCGTGAAGGCTGGAGCCTCCACTTTGGAGTCCTCGGAGATGCCTGGACACGAGGGATGAAGGGGATGGGGATGGGGATGAGCGAGCAGCTGCTGCAGCACCCAACTGCTTTTGAGGGGTCCCTTGTGTCCCCCATACCTTCAGACCCACACCAGGACTGGGAGACCCCATCCCAAGCCTCTGACCGGGCTGGGGGCAGCAGTGGCTAGGGGGGTCCCAATCTGCACATTGAGGGCAGGGAGGGACCAGGAGCAAGGGCTGGGATGGATGAGGGGGCTCAGTGACCCCTAGTGCTCTATGGGGCCCCCATCAGCAGGATGGGGCAGCCAGGGGGGACTGGAGGAAGGAGGGGACCATGCAGGATGTGGGGAGGAAGAGGAAAGCACGTGCTGGGAGTGAGTCACCCCTCAGGGTGCTGGGAGCCCATGGGGAGGAGGAGGAGATGGGGCAATGGATGGGCAGGAGCCCAGTGGCGCATGGCCCGAGAGCATGGGATGACGGTGGAGGGTCAGAGCACGTCCCTGGACCACCCAGCAAGCTGTGGAGATGGAGCCAGGGCTGGTTTGTCCTCCCCAGCCCAGGGCAGGGAGCGGATCTCTTCCAGTCACACAGATTTTCCTAAGATGATTACATTGAACCCAAGCCTAAGCAGCTTTTCCTAAGGGGCAGAGGGGAAAAAACACAGAGAAAGTCAGGTCTGAGCCTTTCTCAGTGCTTGGTGGGCCTGGAGCTTCTCCATCCATGGCTCAGCATCACCTCCTGGGCGGGACAGCCCGGTGTGGGCTTCACGCTATGCTGTGGGCTTAACACCATGGTAAGGGCTTCCTGCCATAGCAGAGCTCTATGGCCAAACCTCATCCTCCAAACCTGGGGCTTTGTCCCATAGCACAGGAGAATCCCCTCTTGCTGGGGAAACTAAAGAAGGGGTGCGAGTCTGGAGCCACTTTTTGCCCAAATCACAGCTAAAACAGGGATAACAGCCAGCGCGGTGGGCAAAAGGCATCACACGGGACAAGGGGCATCCCTGGAGCAGCCAAGGGCACCCAGGCTCCAGGGAAACCAGGCTGGACAAAAGGGAGGGGAAAATCCCCACCCTCATCGCACCCAGAGGCAGAACCAGAGCCTCTAATAGGGAAAAGGCTAAGTGGATTGCTTGACAACAAAAGAGCTTTCATGGAATTGGAAACGGCATCTGCAAGAGCAGAGAGGGGCGGAAATGGGGCTCAGGAGGGAGGAACCATCCCAAAGAGAAATCCAGGCTGCGGAGATGCAAGAATCCACAAGCCCCGAGCATCCCTGGGACATGCTGAGGAGGAGGAGAGGCTCCCAGTGCCTAAAGGGGCTGCAGGAAAGCTGGAGAGGGGCTTGGGACAAGGGCCTGTAGGGACAGGCCAAGGGGAATGGCTTTAACCTGCCAGAGGGGAGACTGAGATGAGCTCTTAGGCAGAAGCTCTTCCCTGTGAGGGTGCTGAGGCGCTGGCACAGGGTGCCCAGAGAAGCTGTGGCTGCCCCATCCCTGGCAGTGTTCAAGGGCAGGTTGGACACAGGGGCTTGGAGCAAGCTGCTCTAGTGGAAGGTGTCCCTGCCTGTGGCAGGGGTTGGAGCTGGAGGAGCTTTAAGGCCCCTTCAACCCAAACCATCCCATAGTTCTATGATCCCTCCCTCTCCCCACCATCACTTACAGAGACCATGAGATGCTCAATGATGCTCAAATCATCCCCTTTGGCTCCAGACCCAAACCAACCTCCATGGGTTTGGTTGGAGCAGGAGGATGCTTTCCCCCCTCCCCACAGCCCCACGTTGCCCCCCCCAGCATCCCTCACCATTGTTGCAGTGCCGTACGCAATCCTGGAACACTGCCCTCCACTTCTCCTGCTCCTTGCCTGTCATCACACAGAAGTAATAGTGCCGGGCATAGGGGTGCCAGAGGATGAGGGGGAAATCCGTGGGGCACTTAAAGATGGGGGTCTGTCCCAGTTTGGGTGTCACACCTGCCAAAGAGGGAAGGATGCTGTGAGGAACAGAGCAGGGATGGGGATGTAGGGCTGGGGGTGCAGCAGAGACACAAAATATCCCTCAGCTCCTTCCCAGTGCCTTGGCTGTGAGTTCTAAAACCATGGTCAAAGGATGCTCAAATTCTCCCAAACAGGAAATAAGTGAAAATTAACAAAAAGGTAAGAAAATCATTATTTCTAGTGGTCCCCAGGGATGCTACACCCCAAAATCAGTCTTTATAGAAGATCTAAAGAGATGCTACACCCTAAATAACCACCCCTCCTTGAAGCTCCATAGGGATGCTACAGCCCAAAACCACCCTTTCCAGAAGGTCCCTAAGGATGCTGCACTCCAAACCCACCCTTCCAAAGGTCCCCAGGGATACTACATCCCAAACCCACCCTTCCAAAGGTCCCCAGGGATACTACACCTCAAAACCACCCCTTCCAGAAGGTCCCCAGGGATGCTGTAGCCCAAAACTACCGCTTCCATAAGGTCCCCAGGGATGCTACATCCCAAACCCACCCTTCCAAAGGTCCCTGGGGATGCTACACCTCAAAACCACCCCTTCCACAAGGTCCCCAGGGATGCTATAGCCCAAACCCACCCTTCCAAAGGTCCCCAGGGATGCTATAGCCCAGAACCACCCCTTCCAGAAGGTCCCCAGGGATGCTATAGCCCAAAACTACCGCTTCCATAAGGTCCCCAGAGATGCTACATCCCAAACCCACCCTTCCAAAGGTCCCCGGGGATGCTACACCTCAAACCCACCCCTTCCAGAAGGTCCCCAGGGATGCTATAGCCCAAAACTACCGCTTCCAGGAGGTCCCCAGGGATGCTACATCCCAAACCCACCCTTCCAAAGGTCCCCAGGGATGCTATAGCCCAAAACCACCCCTTCCAGAAGGTCCCCAGGGATGCTATAGCCCAGAACCACCCCTTCCAGAAGGTCCCCAGGGATGCTATACCCCAAAACTACTGCTTCCATAAAGTCCTCAGGGATGCTACATCCCAAACCCACCCCTTCCCAAAGGTCCTCAAGGGGCACCCAGCAGCACTGGGGACCCCGAGCATCCCTGCTCACCCCTAGGCACCAGCAGCACTCACCAGGCAGGCTGCTGTTCACCAGCTCCAGGTACTGGTCCACCGAGGTGAGGATCTTGTAGCCAGCGCTGTTGATCAGCAGACGGGGCGGCAGGTCCCGCTCATAGGCCTGAGCAGAGAAACACGGTGATGGATGATGGGGGGTGATGATGGGGTGTCCCCCTTCGGGGCTGGGCCCACCAGCGGTGGGGGATGCCCCTCACCAGTTTGTTCTCATAGAGGACCAAGCCGTAGTTGTGTGGGACCACGCAGAAGCGGTTCCTCCACTTCTTGTTCTCCTCGATGTAGTGGAAGAGGTTGCCCGAGTAAATGACGTGGTCCTCGAGGGGCACCTGCAGGGAGGAGAACACGGGGAGGGGGTGGCACAGGGGGTGCAGGGAGAGGGGCAGCTCCATCCCATAGGCACAGCCTGGTGCAGGGAGCTTGGCAAAGTCTTTGGGGGTCAGGGTTTCTGTGCTGAGGGTGCCCAAGGTCACCTCTGGGTTATGCCCGATAGCACTGCAAGTTCTGGTGCCTGAATCATGGAACCCAGCCTGGTTTGTGTTGGGAGTTTGCGACTTCCCTGTCCCACATGGAGACCACGGTGGGGCAGAGCTTGCTTCCTGCCACCTGCAGCTGGCCTCTGACCTGCACCCCGGTGGGACCTTCTCTTTGATGGCCAGTACCAAGCAGTCCCACTCGTGCCCAGAGAAGCTGTGGCTGCCCCATCCCTGGCAGTGTTCAAGGCCAGGTTGGACACAGGGGCTTGGAGCAAGCTGCTCTAGTGGAAGGTGTCCCTGCCCGTGGCAGGGGTTGGAACTGGAGGAGCTTTAAGGTCCCTGCCAACCCAAACCATTCCATGATTCCATGAAGCCACCTCATAGAGCCCAGCACCAGACGATGCTTAAACTCTCTGGGCTTCCCAGAGGATCAGCATCAGGAGCAGGCTGTCTCTCCAGCCCCTCTGGCTCACACAGCAGCAGCATTTACTCCATTCCAAACACAGGCTGAGCAAGCCCAGAATTCCTGGCAGGAATTATGATCCCAGGAACATAAATGAGAGCCAAGAGCTTGGGAGAGTGCAGCGGCGCCTCTGCTGCCTCGGCCACCCACCATCCACTATGGTGGCCATCAGGAGGGACCAGCCAGGGCTTGGGTCCCACCGTGCTCAGGACCTTTTCCTCCTCCCTGCTGTGTCCATCTCCTGGTTCGCAGGAGCCCCATTGCCTTCCCTCAGCCCCACAACCTCACACGTTGGGCAATGGGAGCTGTGGGAGCAGCCCAGCTCAGCAAACAGGATGAGGCACTCGCTGCTCCTCTGAGCTTCCAAAGGCCTTGGAAGGGGGAGGAGAAAGCACAAAGTCCGGCAGGGCTGGGGACAGGGGGAGGGATGAGAACCGGACCTTAAGGCTGTGAGCAGGGATGGGGACAGGAAGGGGGTGCCAGCTCCAGGAGGGCATCAGCATCTCCCCACGGTGGCTCATCCAAGGAGAAGCAGATTTAGAAGCACTGCCCAAGGCAGATGGAGCCCTCTAGGGGGGCTCTAGGCTGGATGCCAGTGGAGTGCTGACCTCTGACATGGGAACACTTAACCATGAGACAGGGGAAGCTCAGGTTGGACCTAAGGCAGAAGCTCTTCCCTGTGAGGGTGCTGAGGCGCTGGCACAGGGTGCCCAGAGAAGCTGTGGCTGCCCCATCCCTGGCAGTGTTCAAGGGCAGGTTGGACACAGGGGCTTGGAGCAAGCTGCTCTAGTGGAAGGTGTCCCTGCCCGTGGCAGGGGTTGGAGCTGGAGGAGCTTTAAGGTCCCTTCCAACCCAAACCAGGCTGGGATTCAGGGATTCCATGGCCACCAGCGCTCGGGGAGCTCCAGCACAATTGTCCCTCCTGCACCTCCTCCTTGCCCCAGGCAGTCACCAAGGTGTCACCACCCAACCCTGGCATGCATCTGGGACAGGCAGGTATGTGCCAAACAGCTGGGCTGGGCTGGGAGTGCCCTGTGCAGGGACTGGGAACGATGGGGACTGGGACTGGGGTGGGGATGTGCAGGAAGGGCTGATTGAAGAGAGCCTGGTCCTGGCACTGCTCCTCCGTGAGGCCCAGAGCACTTAAGCATCATCTGGTGCTGGGCTCTATGGGGTGGTTTCATAGAACCATGGAATGGTTTGTGCTGAAAGGGACCTTAAAGCTCCTCCAGCTCCAACCCCTGGTACAGGCAGGGACACCTTCCACTGGAGCAGCTTGCTCCAAGCCCTGTCCGTGTCTTGAAAGCCCCTCCTTTCCAGCCCTGCACAAACACAGAAGCCTATTCCCATGTGCAACCACATCTCCTCCTGCTTCCACAGCACCCCCAGGGCAGCAGCTCCACTGACCTGACCATGGAGGGACCCCAAACCCTTTCTGCTGATGAGCAGCCTCATCTGGTGTGCATCTGCCTTTGGAGGTGGGAAGGGAGGGCAGGATCCATCCCTGGGTGCTGCAGCCACGGCACCAAGGAGAGATGATGCTTGGAGACCTTTCCCAAGGCAGGAGGCACGAGGTTCCCAGAAGCTCAAAACAAGCTTCTCTTCCCTATGGGGTCAGGGATGCCTGCAAGGGATTCCTGCCCTCCACAGGCATTTGGAGCATTCTTCACACCCAACAACAGCCCAGCACACCCTGCTTGGGGCATCGCTGGGCACAGTGGGGTCCAGGAGCTGCCAGCCTCCATAGGGGCTGCAGCCAAGAACCAGCCTTACCCGGGTGCGCTCATTGCATGGATTGGGAAGAAAAACCACCCTGGGGAGCCCCATGTGCTGCACGGGCGGTGCACGATGCCACGGGGATGGGCTTGACCAGCGGCACGGGGAAAGGGGGTGTTCCCAGGCACAGTGGGAACGGGGATGGAGCTCCCATCAGCTCTTACCTTACGGTGCAGCAGCTGAGCCTGTGGCCCCCCGTTGCCTTCGATCTCATAGCGGACGCTGTTGAAGAGCGCGACCCCGAACTGCTCCTTGTAGCACCGGCAGAACTCACCCAGCACCTTCCCCGTCCTCTCTGCAGCGGGACAGCACGGCTGCGTTAGCAGGGGTGGATATGGGGGCTCCTCTGCACACACACACACACACACCCAGGACACCATCCCCATGCACACAGGCACCATGTGGGGCCAGCAGCATCGCTCTGTGTTGGCCTTTTCACGCTGATGTCAGGGATTCTGCTCCCCGGCAGGGAATTCCCGACATGGAGCTGATGCCGGTGATGGCTTCCCGTGCCTCGGCCACTGGGACTGGGGGCAACGCTTTTCCAGCCCCAAGCATCGTTCATCCCCACCCGACCCCACTGTGCCCCATAAGGACCAGCCCACAGAGGGGAGGGGAAGTGCTGATGCTCCAGCAAGGAGATGAGAAGAGGAAAGGACCCACGAGCCCCCCTTCCCCCCCCCATGTCACCCCCATGTGTGAGGCAGAGACCCCCACATCACCCCATGGTGCTGGAGAGCATCCCCTTCCTCGGCATCCCCATGGATGCCCGGGGCAGGAGGGACACTGCAATCACCCCCCAGCCCCCAAGGTTCCTTCTGGGCCATCAGTCACAGGGCAAAGTGGGGCTGCATCCCCCCAGCCTTTGCCAGCACCCCTGCCCCACATACACTGTTCCCCATAAAGAAACCCCTGTCCCATGGAATACCCTCCCCACGTACACCCTCCCCCATGGAGCAACCCCTGTCCCATGCAGCACCCTGCCCCATACAGACCCTGATCCATGGAGCACCCTCCTGATGTAGACTGTGCCCCATGGAGCAACCCCTGCCCCACACAGCACCCACCCCTCTCCCCACACCAGCTCCAGGAAGCTCCTGCACCAAACCAACCCCTCCCCAACGCATCGCAGCTTCCCCAGGGCTGCCGTTGGCCTCCCCTTTGAATCCTGCTCTCAACTTCGCCCTGGAGCCCGTGAAAGGAAGGAATCCAAGTCTCCTCCAGCCCTTCCCGACGGCTGGAGCCGGTGCCAAGGCACTGGGGAGGAGCGACGCAGCGCTGGGCGCACGAACCCAGACTAAACACCCCCCACGCTGGCCCTTGCACCGCTCACCGGAGCCGAGATCCCCGCAGCAGGCAGGGAAGGAGCCGTTTGCCGCAGGGGATGCCGCACATCCCGTAGGACCAGAGCAAAACACCGCTGGGATAAAGCCGTCCCAGGGGGGATGCGCCGCGATGGAGGCAACCATCCAGCATCACGCTGGCAACCCCTTCCCAGCCAAACAACCCTTCCTCATGGCAAAGAGCGAGGCGCCTGCACATCCCAGCAGGGAAATTCCTCACCCCGAACTTGGCGTTTTCCCCTGGAAAAGAGCCTGTGCTGCAGCTCAGCCTGAGCCTGGCTGCGGCTCCGGGCAGCGACGCAGACAGCTCGCGTTGGGAAGGCCATTCCGAGGGTTCCTTTCCCTTCGGATCATGGGAAAAAGGAGCTCCTTTGTCACTCACTGTCCCTGGGTAGCCAGGGTCCGACTGGGAGGGTTGGAGCCGACGGGAAGCAGGAGCCGATGACCTGCAGGCACTGAAGCAGATCTGCAGCCAAACACTTGCAGTGGTCAAACCTTGCCCAGCTCTACGGGGCAGAGGGACCACGGGGGGCACATCCCACGGACGGTGGCTCCAGCACTGCCCTGGGCACCAGTTTCCAGTGCCTGAGCACCCCTTGGGGAAGGCTTTGCCTGGTGGTTGGGATGCCCAGAGCCTTGCCCCTGCCCTCCCTGTGCAAAGCTTGCTCCTGACCCCTTTATCTCTGCCTGCAGCCACGCACGGCTTAGTCCTGGGCATGGCTGTGGGAAGGGGGAATGGGAGGCTGAGGAAGTGTAAGGGTGCGGGGGCTCCCGCTGGGACAGGCGCTGGCACCTGCCTGGGACCACAAAGCTGGTGATGGGCTGGGATGTGCCAAGGGACACAGCTCCTGTCCCTCCTGGACCTGCAGCCAAAGCTGCTCAGACAGGGATGGGAGGTGAAGGAGCCAGTGCCCAGGGTGCTGCAGGTTGGGGGGGTCAGGGCACCCATTGGCATCATCAGCAGGGGGCTCCCATCCTCTGCCCTCTGTGCCTGGCTGGAGCACAAGTGTGATGGGGAACGGCTGAGGGACCTGGGGGGTTCAGTCTGGAGAAGGCTCAGGGGGGACCTGATCGCTGCCTACAAGTGACTGACAGGATGGAGCCAGGAGGGGCTGGGCTCTGCTCCCAAGGAACAAGGGATGGGACAAGAGGAAACGGCCTCAAGCTGCCCCAGGGCAGGTTTAGATGGAGCTGAGGAACAATTCCTGCCCCAGAGGGTGCTCAGGCATTGGAACAGGCTGCCCAGGGCAGGGCTGCAGTCACCGTCCCTGCGAGTGTTCACACAGCGTGGAGACGAGGCCTCAGTGCCATGGGTTAGTGGTGGCCTGGGCAGTGCTGGGAATGGGTGGATTTGATGCTCTTAAAGGTCTTCTCCAACCTGTTTGATTCTATGGTTCTATGATCCTATGCCACATCAGCTCCACATCCCCAGCCATGCTCCATCCCTCCCTGTCACATCTCCAGGGACCCACGCAGCCTCCCCATCACCCACCAGCACCCCAGGGACACCCTGGCAGGGTGACCCAACAGGCAGCACAGATCTGTCCTTGTCCCTATGACACCCAAGGACAGAGGAGCCCGAGGGTTGTCTGGGTGGAGCCATCCAGGTCCTGCTCCTGCCCACCTCCCCAACCGGTCGTGCCAGCGCAGCCATCGTGGAGCCCAAAGCATCATCACCAAGCCCAAAGCATCTCCAGCACAACAGTCCCAGTGGGAAGGCAGCAGTCCTCAAGCAGCCAGGGTTGCAGCCCAAAGGCACGTGCAGCCCTCGCCTATGGAGAGGTCACAGCCTGGGCAGAGCAGCCCTGGTCCAGCATCCGTCCCTTTGAACCAGGGCAGGAGGTGGATTTCACCCTCAGAAGCCACAGGAAGCTGCCCAAGCTGGTCCAGCAGCCTGGCCTTGGGAGCATCTCCAGCACCATCAGCAGCTGCACACATGCACATCTCCAGGCAGAAGCCAGCTCTTATCCTGGCCTCCCATACGAGCAGGGCCAGCCCCAACTCCAGCATCAGAGCAAAGCCAAGGGGAAAACACAGCCCATGAGCTCCATGTCCAGCCCAGAGCCCTTATCACCTGCAGAGCAGCATGGGCAGCCTGATCATATCCTTCCCTCCAGATACTGGGATGTGCTGCCTGCAGCTCTTCACAGAACCACCCTGGCCGCTTGCAGAGCTCTGGAGCACCAGTGCTCAACACCTCATGCCCCTCAAAACCATGTGAAAATGAGAGCGATGTTTTAAATAGCCCAGGCCAAGGCCAGCAGCATCAGCAGCTCTGGCAGTGGGAGGTCAGAGCCTCGGCTGGTCCTGCTGCAGCGTGCCTGGCCCATACCCAACAGCAGCATTTGTTTTGCCTTTGCTCAGCATCCTCCAGATGCATCCATGACCCATCCGCACCTTCACAGCACATCCCACCCAGGACAGAGCCCAGCAGGGACATGGCTCAACTCTGATGTCTCCTGGGGTTTGGGGACCAGCTCAGCCTCCCCCAGCACTGGAATGCATTGCACAGTGCTGGGCAAAGCTGCTCCTCAGATGAGCATCACCCCTGTGCCCTTCCAGAGATACCCGAGGAGCTGAGGATGGAAACAGCCTTCCTCTCTCCTCATGTGGCAGGATCTTTGGTGGGCAGCAAAGGGTTAAAGCGTAAGAGGAAAAGGGCAGGGAGGATGGACCCAAACCAGCCTTCAGCCCCCTGCACCCTGCAGGAAGGTGCTGGCAGCCTCTGGGGATGCAGAGCTGTCCCCTGCTCCCCACCCTGTGCTGGCAAGGGACAGGGATAGGACAGGGAGCAGGACGTGAATCCACACACAGCCATGCACAAACATGAACACCTATACACACCCCCCATGCACACACAGGTACATACCCCACATGCACACCCATACGTACACCCATGCACACACCCCCAGGAGAGCCTGGAGCCCAGGGTTGACACATCCCAGCAGGAACATCCATGTGCACCCTCCCTGCAGCCCACATCCCGCTTTCCACCCTCAGAGCCCATCCCTCACTCCTGGCACACCTTCCAGACCCCCATCATCCTGCCAGTTAAACGTATAGGGCAGAGGGAGCCTTTGACATCCCAAATTCCCCAGGCCCCCCCCCAGTCTCTGTGGCCGGGATGGGTGGGAGCATGACCAACCCTTGTGGGATGCCGCAGGGATGCCTCACCGGAGGCAGGGAATTTTCCTCCTGCTCCAGCACATAAAGAAGGATAAAGCCAAGGACACAAAGGCCCATTGAGGCAGAGCCCGGGGCTGTGGAGCCCTGGCCCCCGCATGCGTGATGGATGCTTGCTGGCTCATTGCCCATGGGACAGCCTGAGTCAGCCCCGGCTCCCCGCCACCGTGTCCCACGTCCCCTCATTGCCACCTCAGCAATGGGGTGGTGCAAAGGGATGTGTCTGCAGAGCAGTGGAGGAGCAGACACACGGGAGGACCAGGAAATCACATCCCCTTGCTGGGGGTCATTGAACCAACCAGGGTGGAAAAGACCTTTAAGAGCATCAAATCCAACGTTACAGGGTTGGATTTGATGCTCTTAAACACTTGCAGGGACGCTGACTGCAGCCCTGCCCTGGGCAGCCTGTTCCAATGCCTGAGCACCCTCTGGGGCAGGAATTGTTCCTCAGCTCCATCAAAACCTGCCCCATGCTGCTGGTGACAACGGGCATCCCGCTGGCAGGGCATGGGCAAGGCTGCTGGGGCAGGAGCTGGTTAATCACTGATGCAGCCAGTGAAGGATGAGAGAGCACAGGCAGGTTGCTGGGGCAGCAGCACAACCGGTGGCACCCACAGGGACACCCAGGGGTGGCACATGGTGACCCCGGCCCGGCCAGCTCACCCCTCGGCTGTGATTTGCACATGGGTGAAGGGGCCCTTTCCCTGCTCCTGGGTGCTGTCACCAGGACATCCCTGGCTGTCAGCACCCAGCCAGTGGTCCCCATACC